GAATGTTTAGCTCCTTTTTAAAAAATCACTTAAAGATTCCAAATCATACATAAATCGTGTGTGTGTGTGTGTGTGTGTGTGTGTGTGTGTGTGTGTGTGTGTATGTATGTGTATACACACACATGAATCTCACAGCCTTCAAATTATGGTGTGGACTATAGTTTGAGTATAGCTCTCTGGAGATACCGACCTCAGGGTGACTGGTTAAAATCTCAAATTTGGAGAGATCATCTCTGAGGCCTTGGCCACATAAAATTCTATCAGCATCCATGCATCATGTATAGGAATTAACCACATAATGCCAAGAGTCTCCTACCCTGAGATGGCAGCCAGTTTTTGGTGTGCCTGACGGGCCATTTCACAGCCTTTGGTTCTTGTCTTGTGCATTTCCGCCCTTAGTGAGGGGCAGCTGACTGAGACGTCCCCGATAGAAATGACCAACTCTCGGTACAGGGCCACTTGCGTGTTGAACTCTTGGACAAGCTGGAAAAGAAGCGAGTTTCTGTCACCAAACACTTATCATCAGAAAGTTTCCTATCTCGTATATAAACAGGGGCCTTCACTGACCCCTGCGCCACCTCCGCAAATCTCCAGCTCCCCAAATCTTCAGCCAAGGAGCCTAGTAATTGTTTAAAGCTTACGGCACAAACAAGGCAAGTCTCTGTGTCCAAGGCGTGTGTTTATTTTTCACCGGCAAGCCTGGTCATGGAAGCTCTATTTCCAGACCTACTTGCCCCCTCCCATTCAGACTCAGTTTCTGAAGAGCAAGAGCATATTTGGAGAGTGATCATGCCACTCCCAGGTCAACAGAGAACGATGCTGGGAACTCTCGCATAGACGCTCCCTACTGCCAGGATATGGATTTGAAGTTGCAGAGGCGGGGGTGGGGGGTAGACCAAGGGTGGGGTGAAATAGGCAAACCATTCACCTCCTTCCTGGCCACTGAACCTCTCCTGCTCTGGAGCCTGACTGGAAGACCAGCCACAGCCTCTCGCTGGAACCTTCGTCCCCTCCGCAGCGCCCCGTGCTCTCTGTTTTGGTTTGTTTGCTACTGTCTCCCCACAAAACAGCACCTCCACCTCCCCATTCCGTCCCTCCCTGGTGAGCGAGCCAGTTCATCGTGTCTTTCGCAGCCACCACTCTTCTTCGAGGGGACCGAGGTACAACCTACAGCCGCTGACCCCCGAGACCCTTGCTGTGGCACTTCTCTCCGCAGGGCCATTACGACCCGGGTGTCACCCCGAATCTAGGGGACTGCAGATTTAAAAATAGTGCATGTGCACGTGATCGGCATGGAGGAGCTGAGGGTGGGGGAGTGGCTGGCACTCATGCAAATGATTAACATACACGACTCCCCCCACCCCCTCTCAAAATAAAAAAAGAAAAAGAGGCGCAGTTTTTACCCACCATCTTGCAGTCGTCCAGGGCTCGCTGGGTTTTCTGAGCGCTCTCGGAGCCGCTGCCCCTGCGCTCCCAATCCCCGCTTTGCAGCGGGGGCTTGCTGATCTGGAAGATCGAGGAGCGGGTGGACCGGCTGGGGCGCTTTTTGCGCCCATTCGGTGCAGAACTCATGCATACACATCCACCAAGCCGAAGCCGCTGGTGCAGTGCGCCCCGGCGCGGGCGGCCCGGTCGTTGCCCTGCGCGCCGCCGCCAAGCAGCCGGAGCCGGGACCCGAGGCGCGCGGTTCACAGGGTTGGGACTGGCTGCGCGGGTCGGTAACCTTCAGCTTGAAGGAGAGCCGGGGAAGCGCTGGCTGTGCCGTGCAGCATCGCTTCCACTAGCAGCGAGGAAGGGGCGCGATCAAGTTCTGCTCAGCAGCATTGCCGGCCCTGTCCCGGGAGCTGGGCGCTGGCGCGGGCTCGCACCGCTTTCCTCTCGGCATGGATCGCAAGGCTGGGCGAGAAGGAACGCGCCGCCCGGCGGTTCCGCGTTTCCATTCAGGTGGGGGAGCAGCTTTCAAAGCCTGCGCTGCAAGGTGGGGGGCGGAAAGGGGTGTCGCTCTTGCTTCAGTGTCTTCCCGCAGCGGTGCTCGGTTGGTCTTTCCCCTCCCTCCACTGTCGCCAGGCCTGGAAGGGCTGGCCGTCCCCGAAGCAGGCAATTGGCTCTAATCGGCTGCCTTGATCCCTCGTCTCTAAGGGCTTGTCTGTTTGAGGATCCCAAATGAATCTGTGCTGGGACTGGCAGACGCAAGGAATCGGTCCGGCTGACGTTGTTCGCTGGCCCGCACATTGATAGGACGGGAATACTAATGTGATCCGTCCATACAATCTTCTTCTCCATCCACAGTTTATGCACTTATCCAATCAAATCCCTGGGAACATCAATTGCAATATTACTTCATCTGCTCTATTATTAGAAACGAAAAGTGTCATCAGAGTGGAGCACATTGCCACATGCTGGGACCTAAATACGGATTTCAATAAACCAATGTGGGCTTGAGGCCCTCACCATCTAAGACTGAGACTGGGGCCACAGGAGGGAGTGAGGATTTTGCATCAAAAAGATCTCTTGATAACCTAAAAGGAAAGCTTTGTTTTTTTGGGTTGTTTTTGTGTTGTCTTGGTTTAAGGGGGGGGGGGTAGGGGGGTTAGGCAAAATGCACAGAGCATTCACTGAGATTGGCCCTCATCCCCATCCCATTCAACTAGTGAAGCTCTTGGTCTTGCATTTCAGGGTCTCAGGACCTGGCTCTGAGAGTTTCCCAGTAGAGGTTTGAACAAGTAAGATACAATAGGCCTCCCTGGGCACTCAAAATGACCCTCTTCTCTATCAGGTATCAGTAACCCAGGTGCCAGTGCAATTTGGCCAGGAAAGTAGGAGAACGCCTGTATGAAAAGGGCTGAGGTCCTCAGTCATTTAAGTTCACTTTGCCACTGACATCCTGCCAAGATCCTTCTGGGAGGAAGAGGGAATGGTGTGGGTGTTTAATGCTCTGAGAATGCTTGTTCTCACGAACGATTTGTTTGGAGGGGAGCAGTAAAGTGGTCTGCCACAGGGGAACCAGTTATGTGTTGAAAAGCCTAATGAAGAACAAGTCAGAGGTTCCTGGTCAATCTCTTAAGGGGTATGAAGAGTACATAGAAAGGGAGAGCCAGAAATAGCCAGGAAGGCTAATACCCTATGGAGGGTGGCTCAATAACTTTTTTATAAGATAGGTAAACATAATGGGGTGCTATAATAAGAGAGATGTTTGGTCTTTGTTCCCGGTTCCTGGCATAGAGCTCCTAAAACCCTTGGAAATTACCTGAGTGATAAGGGTGGTAGGAGTATCTTGTCACCACAAAGACCAAGCCTTGTTTAGAAGTTTGGAACTTTCAGCCCCACCCTCAAACTTCTGGGGAAGGGAGAGGGGCTAGTGATTGAGTTAATCACCAGTGGCCAATTATTTACTCAATCATGCCTACATAAAAAAATCTCCATAGAAACCTCTCAACAATGATGGTGTTTGGGGAGCTTCTGGTTGGGGAAGACATCTAGGTGCTGGAAGGCTGGCACATCCCTCCTCTATACATTGCTCTGTGTATCTATCTCTTCCATTTAACTATTCCTAAGTTGTATCCTTTATAATAAACTGGTAATAGTAAGTAAAGCTCTTTTCTGAGTTCTGTGAGTCATTCTAGCAAATTTTCAAACCTGAGAGTGTGGTTGTAGGAACCCTCAAATTTGTAGCCAAGTTGGACAGAAGAGTGGGTAAGGGGGGGACCCCATGCTAGTGACTGGCCTCTGAAGTAAGGGCAGTCTTGTGGGACTGAGCCCTTAAACCTGTAAGTCTGATGCTAACTCCGGGTAGTTAGTTCCGGGAATGAACTGGATTGTAGGACATCTAGCTGGTATCAGAGAGTTGGAGAAGTGGTGTTGGAAAAGACACCATGTATTTGGTTGGGGAGGAAAAAAACCATTAACAGGTGGATACCTGACTATACATTCAATTACATTTGCATAGTAATCCACAAAAGATTGAGAGTCAGTTTTCCCTAGCAAAGACTGGGGTAGGGAAGCATCAGCCCCTTCTCCCAGACCTCTGTGTACTGCTATCCTCTAGTTGTTTAGATAGCCCAGAGACATGGATGAAAGGGCTCTCCTGTTGGCTGAATCTCTCCAAATATAAGAGCTTAATCCTTAGCCAGCTCCCTGACGGTTCCTCTTTCCCTCAGTCTCAATTTTCTCTCTACTTCATATGCATAGGAAGACAAAGAGGCTAAGGGATACATGAGGTGTCTAGGATTTGGTGAGTGGTGAGAATGGTGAAGATGGTGAGGAGGAAGGTGACAGGCTAAGGGGCTTTAAAGAAGGATGGATAAAATGATTTAAGTCCCATGTTATAAACCTCTTTCATGACCACTAGCTTATCCTCCCATCCTCTGCCCACCTTTCAAGAAATGGCTGCTATAGTCCATGGCTGGTGGTGCTTTGGAGAATTAAAGAAAAAGAGGCTGCCTTTTACATGTGTGGATGTGAATGTAGGGTGGAGAGAACAGGACCCTGGAGATTAGTCTACTGGAAATCTTTTGCCACTGCTCTATTGTTTCATCTCCTTTCCCTGCAGGGAAATAGCGACTTCCACCAGATTTGAGCATCTCAAAGCTCCTCAGTAGTAGGTTTCTACTCCAGCTACAACCATCTGGTTACTACCCACCCTCTTCTTCTGCCTAGAGACAATTTCAACAAATTAGAAGAAAAAAAGCAACAGAATTGCACTGCCCTGTTTCTATGCCATATTTCTTGCAGAAGCTGGGAGTGGGGGGGGGAAGGAGGAATAAAATAGGTCAAATGTAATGCTACATCTGAAGGACTATAGACTTGGAAACCTGCTGGGGGATTAAGCAGAAATTGTCATTTGTAGGTGCCCCTTGGCCTTCCCTGATACGCAGCCCAAGCCATTTTCCTGAGAGGGGAGAAAAAGCATCAATCCCAGAGCTGTCTCTCCCAGTGACAAATGCTGTAATCAGAATAGCAGCAGGCAGGCTTAGTTCGCTCACCTTCCCCCACATTCGAAATGGCATGAATTTACATTCCTGAGGCTGTCTGACTGCCAAGTAGAAGGGTAAAGTGTAGTTGGAAATTTCAACAACAAGGGCACATTTTCTGGATACTCAGACCCAGTTTTGGTACATCCCTGACAGTGGATCCCCTACAGGTGTGTGGCTTTGACTAGAGTCACATCCTAAATTCACTCCAATATTCTTCATATTGCTTCCATAAGGAACTACAGTGGGACCCTGAGATGATCACCTCAAACTTGGCCTCTCATGAAAGGTGACACTGAGTGGCAGGTTTCATCTGGGAATAAAGTTCAAGGAGGTGAAAAAAATAAAATGGGTCTTACCTGAATGGGTCTGTGACAGAGGCAGAGAAAAATACCTTAAGATACTGGGTTCTAAAATTTGGGGAGATCTGAAGGGCATGTTAAGTTATTTTCTGTTAGTGTCACAAAATAAGAAATTAAGTTATTGCGAAGAATTTAGTGAATAAACTATATAATAAATGATTTATTTCCACTAAAAACAGGAAGGAATATGTTGGGAACATTTATTACTAATTTAACAAATATTTTTTAGCATTTTTATTAGGGGCAGATCTAGGTACTGTTGCTCCTGAAGCTTATATAATTTGGGGGCCCCTCTTTAAGAAAAAGAATATAAAACCTTAAATACAAAATTCGATGCATGGTCTTAGATGGCCTATGCAAATGAGGCTCCCTGAAGTTTAGGCTTTTTCACCTTTACGGTAAACTCAGTGTCTCTTATATGCATAATGGACATCTAGTGTTTTGCTTACTCAGTTTTTACTCTCTCTCTTCTGATGATAGCACCTTAAATTTCCTTTGAGAAATCAATCCTCTATCACTTTTTGTCCACATGGCTCTGTGGGTAGGCGTATGATTCAGGATTAGCCAATGAGAGTACTACATTCCAGTGGCCACAATAATTGGCTGAATAATGAGTATGAAATCTAAACTGAACCAATGAACTTTAGCCTTGGAACTGTCCGGTTGAAACCTATGAAATTGCAATTATTCAACCATTTTTTACCTACATAAATGGCAATTTCATATATTTCAACCTAATATTTAGCTTTTTTCTTTCCATTGGGTGGGTAGGCTGGTAAGATGAAAGCCTGTTCTGGTGGCCACTTTTGCCATTCATGGTCAACAGACTGCCTGAGATCTAACCCAGAGGATCATAATGGAGAGATGGAGAAACAATGATGATTCTTAATGATGTGACTTGAGTACATGGATCCAGCTCTGCCTTAAGTCGAACTCTACCTGCAATTTCAGTTAGATGAACCAAAAATTCGCCTTTTAAATCAAGTCAATTTTATTTGGATCATTACAATTTGCAACCCAGTGAATCTTGATTAATATAATATGTAAAGAATCATTGTGCAAAAGTATAGGATACATCTAATAAATTCATCATCTAAAACTTATCAAATGTTTACTATGCACAAGATACTGTGTTAATGACAAGAGATAATACAATAAGAGTAAAAACATTCTTATTTCTAAGGTACTTACACTTCAGAAGATAAAATATACAGACATGAAACTATGAGGATTGATGAAATATATAATAGTGTTACTTTCTGCTGTATTTCAATACTGTAGGAATTTAGAGATCAGTCAGTCTCTATAGGATAAGGTTATTAAAAAGGGCTATACGATAGAGATGGAACCTGAGATAGGTAATAAAGTATATGTAGGATCTCCCTACAATCCCACTACTGGGTATCTACCCAAAGGAAAATAAATCATCGTATCAAAATGATACCTGCACTAATATGTTTATCACAGCACAATTCACAATCAGAAATATATGGAATAAACTTAAGTGCCCATGAATCAATGAGTAAATAAAGAAAATGTGACACACACACACACACACACACATACACACACACATCATGGAGTACTACTCAGTGATAAGAGAGAATGAAATAATGTCTTTTGCAACAACTTGGATCCTAAGTAAAGTAGCTTAGGAACAGAAAAGTAAATGCTGCATGTTCTCACTTATAAGTGGGAGTTAAACTATGGCTACACAAGGACACACAGAGTGGTAGAATGGAAACCGAAGACTCAAAAAGGGGGAGCGTGAGAAGGGGGAGGGATAAAAAATTACCTATTGGGTACAATGTACCATTTGGATGATGGATACACTAAAAGCCAAGACTTCACCACTATGCAATATATACATGTAACAGAATTTAATTTGTACCCCATAAGTCTATTAAGATTTAAAAAGAAAAAGAATTAAGTATATGTAGGATCTTGATAGATGGAAGAGTGTGGGACAGTTTTTGAGGGGTTGGCTAATAGCAGCAGCAGCAAGGCATAAAGAGTCTGGCCTGAATTGAAGATAAGGAAGAGGCAAGTATGAAAGTATTGTGGTTATGGTATGAAAATAGGATGAACGGTCTGGTTCCCTTGGTTTAGGAAAGGAAGAACAACAGTATGTGAGCAGCAGAGAAAACCTAACAATTTTCTTTGGATGACAATAGTTTACATGATTTGAGGTCACACTGGGA